ATAGTGCGTATAAATTATAGCTGTGTGGATAATATTTGATATATCAGTAGATTGTAAATACAGAAGAGTGATGTAAACCGTAAAGGGAACAAGACACTATAAAGATGCAGTAATTATAACTAGATACATTAATACAAGTGTAATGATGGAGTAAGATTAAACTATTTTCATGTATGATACGAAACTGTCCCTTGAGCATGTATGTTATTCATAGTTTGGCCTTCCACTTAAGGAATACTTATAAAAAAATTTTAAGTACTTTTATTGTAAGATTTTTAGTCAATTAATATTTGTTATTATAAATATGACTAGAGTTGAAAAGCGAAAGGCCAGAATTAAGTATGTGAATAAATGAATATTTGTTAATTTCCCTAAATATATAAGAATCTAATGTAATAATTACACATTATATATATGTACATGTTATATATAATGAGTTTTGTACATATGTTAAAATCGTTACAGTCTGTACAATATTAAATTCTACTAAAAAAGATACATATTCCCTATTTTCCTATACCGCATATAAAAAAAAATTATGAAAATTAAGATTGAGTATGCATTACATAATAGAAATACTTAGTTGGAATATTCATATTCTATTATTTAATTTATGCTATTCTTAATCTGTTAACTGTATACAAATAATAAGTATAAAACATTTTCATATTATGTAAAAATATTACTTTATGCTTTATTACAAATCCTCTCTCAGAAACTATAGGCTTAAGATTGGGAAATAAATAAATTTAACCATAGAATTAAAACAACTTTATTGCTATAGTATTGTATAATTTTAACCACTGAATGCTGCAATTATAGTCCTTGAAAAGTATAAAATATTTTGAAGTTAATATTTCCTAATGATGGGCAGCGCATTTTTGAAATGGTATTTATAACCATTTTTAATTGTCATATATCGCTTCCACAATAGCTTTATCACAATTTATATCAGACAGTCCTTCACATTAAAAGTATGTACTTCCTTTACCTATAAAATTGTTGTTGATGCTGTGACCATTGAGTCTGTGGTGGTGGAGCTTGTTGTTGTGGAGGTGGTGGACCATATGATGTATCTTGTATGTATCCTGTTGGGGATGGCCTTATTGAGGTTGGTGTTGAAGATACATACTGCTGTTGCTGTGGTGGAGGTGGTGGCACATAAGATACTTGAGCAGGATGCTGTGGTTGTGCATAGTATTGTTGTGTCTGAGAAACCGGAGGTGGCACATTATATCCTCCATAATTCACTTGTGGAGGTGGAGGAGGATAATAATGGTGACTTTGTTGCGTGTGTATATCATGTGTTGTTATAGCTGTATCTTGAATGGGCACAGTTATAAGATTTGTTCTTAATGGAGCGTTGTTTGGTGGTGGAGGTGCAGAATTTTGAGTATAATTCTGCATTGATATTAATGCTTGTGGCCTATGTTGTTGCCTGTGTTCCACCGGAGTTTGATTGACCATTGAATTCACTCTAGGGTCGTTTCCCATTATTGGTTGAACCATATGTGACTGCACCGATTTTATACGAGTATTTTGCATTGCAACTGATGAAACTTTTGTTAATTGAGACTCTATTTCTGACTTAGAATGCACATATTGGGGAGGATCAACTTGCATTCCTTGAACTTGTTGTGGTGGAGCTGATATATGTCGATGATTTATATGAGCCTGTATACAAATTGTACAATGTATTCACATAAACAAGACAAGCAACAAAAGCTTTTAAAATTAATAAAAATTACCTGCAAATCCCTTTGACTAAGATATGTTCTTCTACAACCTGCATTGCCGTATCTAGTTCCTCCATGTGTACACATAAACACAGTACCTAAGCCAGTTTGTTCTACTCTAGAAACTTTTTCCATGCAACGAGGGCAAACTTTGTCTTCCCTCTTGGCACAGGATAAGCAAAACACATGTTTGCAAGGTATCTGAAACAAAAATATTCAATATTATAAATAATGAGCTAAGAAATACAACCATGGTACTAAAATGACTCTATTTTCTAGAAATTTGGTCTGTTCTAGAATCTTAGCAACACAAAAGTTATGTTTACCTTTTCAATATTTTATAACATTAACTATTGAAAACTATCAATTTAGATCTTATATATTTGTCTTTTAATATTTTCTTCATAAAAATATCCCTCACCATGCGTCCATAAATGAGAATTGGTTTCAAACACTTGTCACAACAGTGTATCATAGGATTCAATACTTTTTCTCCAATGAGATTAACTCTGTGGTCCCATCGTAAACGAAGCATTGGTTCAGGAGGTCCTCTGTTAATAGTTGTAAAAGTTGGGGCTTCCAATTGTGATATATCAGCTTCCAAATCAAATTGTTGCTCCAAAGGAGGCTGTTGTGTTGGTGGAGCTTCATGTTCTTGTAGTTCTGTTCCACCTCCTTCTGCTGGAGCTTCTTCTACTTGTTGAGGAGTATCTTCCTCATCACTTTCAATAACCTATTTTAAATATATGTATGATTTTAAAACTATATCAACTATATAGACTATAATTATGAAACAAGCAAACTAAACATTCCTAAGTTAAACAAATTTTTTGGATGTACCTTCACTTGTTTCTTAGATCTACCTCTAGCACGTCCTCGTGCTCTGCCACGGGCTCTACCACGAGTTCTACCTCTCATCCTTTTACCACCATCTTCCTCCATCACTAAAATTAATTGTCATTATCTGTGAAATAAAAAGCCAATGTTGTACATTCAATAAATTTCAACAATTCTTTAAAATATAAAATCGAAAAAAGAAGAAAAACACATTAAGACACATATAATATCCAAAGAAAAAATATGTCAGCTATTATCTCAAAAACAAATAAAATAATTAGATCATAATTTATATCAATTAGACTTATTAACGCAACGTACTACATCCTGTTAGATTAAGCAAATTTTTATTTCAAGATTTCATGCTTAAAACGATACTTACTTAATAGTACAGGTTATATTTCTAATTTTTAGTAGTACAATTTAATAATAGTGATCATATTTATACCAAAAGTGTTTACTGAAACGAATAATGCGCGGGAGGACAAAATACTCACATTTAAACAACAATTAGAGGTATGAACTCTTTAATTATTACACAATTCAATGTTTCACACTGAACTAGTCATTTTACATACATGAATGAAGAAATAAACTGTTGCTACAACCTTCATTGTAGTAATCCATGTGACGTAGAATTGTTGTTACCTTGGAAACGAATCTACGCCATGCAAATCGCAAGGGTGTACGTTTAGAACCAAATGCCTTGCGCTTTTTTATTTGTCATTATGTTTTGCAGTAAATGCTAATATTATTTAGTTTTATATGGTAATTTTTAATTTTCATTAAGGTAACATAAATAATGTAATAATTTAAAAAATGAGTTGCAATAAAATTGTTATATTATGCATAATTTATTCACGATTGTAGATAACTTCAAGGTGATTCAACGGAGGGAGTAGTTCCGAAATCGAAAGCTACTGAAGTGTTTTTAACACAGTGTTTAAGTGCGTTATTTTATAAGAATAGCGAAAGTTTTGGAAAATGTCTTGTTGTTCAGGAGATGATGATGATGAACAACGGCCTGATCCGACACGAGTACGAGGATGCACAGATATTTTCTGGCTTTGTTGTTTTATAGTATTTTGGTTTCTTATGGTATGCAAGTTTACATTTTCTATCATTAAATTTCCTCTTGTGATGTTTAATATGCTTTTTTTAAGTTCTTAATTTCATAACACAATATATATATTTTTTCAACGATATTATATTACAGATTTTAATAGCAGCATTTGCTCTTGTTTATGGTAATCCATTAAGACTTATAAATGGATATGATAGTTTTGGAAATACTTGTGGTATGAAAAATAATCCAAAATTCGGTAGTTTGGAGTTATTTGGACAAGACACTAGTGACAAACCGTTAGTATCAATATTAACACTGTAATTTCCTGTAACTAATACTCTTTCAAAAAGTAAATTATAAATTTTCACTGATTTTATTATTTCAGATATTTATTTTTTTTGGACATAAGTAATGTTGTACAATCTTTGAAAATTTGTGTCAAGAAATGTCCAGATAGAACTATGATAACAATAAGTGATATATATAAATTTTATGAAGAGACAGGATCTCAACTTTGTCATGATAAACCAGGAAATGATTTTAGTGCTTATATTAATGGAAGTAGAAAAAATAAATTAGGATCTTGTCCTAAATTTCCAGTATACAATAGCATACCAGTTCTTAATCGTTGCATTCCTAAAACTATTAAAGATGTGGGAGAAACTATAATTGCTAATTTGTATGGCCTACTTAATTCATGGGATGTTACAGAACAAATCTTAGGAGATTTATACAAAACATGGAGAGAAATTTTATCTTTGTCATTTTTAGCTTTTGGTATGATTTATCATGTTATTATTTTAATACACATCCAAATGTAAGTTTATTTACAAAATTAAATAAAATGTTATATTACAGTGTTATCTCTGTTTATGATTGCTATATTTCATTTATTGGCAAGTATTGTAACATGGATTGTGATGGTTCTTGTCAGTCTAGCAACTGTAGGTAAGTTATTTAAATAAAGCCAGTAATAAAGAATGTGATTATATAAACTGAATTATATTATATAATTATATTGATTATATCAATTAAATTTTACAGCTGGAAGTGTATTGTTATGGTGGACATATATAGAAATTAAAAGAACTTTAGATAAAACTGATCCAAATCAGCTTTTAGAGGAATCTGTTAGAAATGAAAGAGCATTCCTAGCCTTTTCTATTATTGCAACAATAATTACTGTAAGTGAATTTAATTAACTATTACTTTCATTGTTTAGTAAAGTTTTTCTTTGTAAAACTTTCTCATATTTCAGATAATTTTGTTACTCCTTTTAAGTATATTACGGAAACGTATTGGATTCATGACAGCATTATTTAAAGAAAGTGCAAAATGTTTAGCAGAATTACCAGGTTTATTTTTTCAACCCTTGTTAACATTTGCTACTCTAATATTATTTTTTACATTTTGGATGACTGTAATTCTTTGTCTGGCAACAGCCAGTAAGTATTTTAATTTTTCTATACACTCTCAAAATGGAAATAATAATTATATAGATATCTAAATTATAGATTATCCTGGAACAAAATCTGTCCAAATGTATAAAAATCATATATTTGATCCACTAAATTTGAGTGATGTTGGAGAAAAAAGTGCATTCATTGAAGAGAAAAAATTTAATTTTTCCCTTGATTCTTTTAAAAGTAAGACACTGTTAACATATTTTATTTGTTTAATTTTTTTATATGTAGCATTTGTTACTACTTTTAATGTTTTTTAGCTTTCACTTTTGTGGAATATGTGGATCCAACTTGGGTGAAGTATATGTGGTGGGTGTATATCATAGGATTAATATGGACGTCTGAATTCATTATTTCTTGCCAAGATATGGTGATATCAGGAGCAGTAGCTCATTGGTATTTTAGGTAATAATATAAAAAAATTTTGTAGTCACACAAATAATGTAGTGTATTCACATTTACTTATATGTGATATCTAATGTTTAATCGCTGTTTGTTATTTCAGAGGTAAAGATGCTAGTGCATCTCCAGTATGTTCTGCTATGGGAAATTTAGTTAGTTACCACTTAGGTTCTGTTGCTTGCGGCTCGTTTTTAATAACGCTTTTTAAGTTACCTCGTTTAATCTTAACGTACCTTCATGCTAAGTACGTTTTATTAATGTACATATCTTATTGCATTAATATACATATGAAAAATTGGAAATTTTATCACATTAATATACGCATGAAATTACACTTTTTTAATATAATTTATACTACAAATATTTCACAGATTTGAGAGGAGTAAAGAAACATCTCCATGTGCTCAATGTGGTTTAAAAAGTTGCATATGTTGTTTCTATTGTTTAGAAAAGTTTATTCGGTATATGAATCATAATGCATATACTGTTGTTGCTATTGAAGGAACACATTTTTGTAATGCAGCTAGAATTGTATGTTAAAATTTTTAATGTGTTTTATCCTTATCTGACA